CGGGGCGGGGCGGGGCGGGGGGAGGGCCTGTCCCCGGGCAGACCTGGGTGCCCTACGTGCAGCATCTCTGGGCTCTCAGAGCCCACCCATGACTCCTGCTCAAGATCAGGAAGGGTCGGACCGGGAGCCGGGCCTCGCTGTCCTCATCCAAGAGGGGCTGTCTCTCTCGTGCGAGCTCCCCCTCAACGTCCCAAACCCACTGCAGCTCGAGGCGCCATCACTGGCCACAGGAGCCCCGGTAGCCGTTTGGGGTCTCTGAGCCCCTCTCCTCGCCGTCCTCCTCCTCAGGTCATCTCCACCTGCAGCTGTCACCTGGAGGGAGGGGTTTCTGAGCCTCGAGCTTTGGTGAGGAAGAGGAAGACCCTTGGGAGGTGTTAAAGTTGCCTGGAGTGGGTCAGAGAACAGCGTGGGTGGGGTACAGCACCGGGAGGTGGGAGGGACGGAGCGGAGGAGGACCGATTATCACGGGACAGGGCTTTCCACACGGGCTGGCCTCAGAGCTGAGGTGGGTTTGGGGTGGTTTGCGGTGGTTTGATGAGAGCCAACAGCCCCCAAATGGCCCTATGACCAAGTAGCTGCAGACAATGAAGGCATGGAAGGGGCGGGGTGGGAAGCACCAGGTGCTGCTCCCCTTCCAGGGACTGGAGGAGCAGCTCCGCACCTAGACCTCCTGCAGCATCTGGAATATCTGAATCTTCACGAGCTCTCTTGGAGTCAGCTTGATCATCAAACTGCAGTATCTGCCTCTCCCAGAGATGGCCAGAGGGGTTCCCGCCAGAATGTGCCTGACCTGACCTCAGTTCTCAGTAACACTTCCTGAGTGAGGGGGAATACCGAGGGGGTGCAGAAGGAAAGTAAACTTTGAGGGAGGGGGTGGGGAGAGGAGCAGGGCTTTTCCATATCACTCATGGAGGCTGTCGCAGCCAGCTTCCCTCAAGGGGATGGGAGGCCTGAAGGGTCCTTGAAGAGGCCTGGAGGTCACCCCCACGCACAGGGCAAGGGGCAGTGGAATCTGAATCCAGACCACGAAAGGCATCTGAGCTGACACCTTCAGGCTGCCCACCCCAGCCGGCGTCCTAGGACTTTCTGCCTGGCTGGAGGGCTCGGGTCGTCCTTCCTGCTCCCCAGCTGGTGATGCATCTGCAGGACGCAGGCCAGAGAGAGGGCTGCAGCCTGGCACAGAACCCGGCCAAGCCGACTGGGCCGCCTCACTGCCTACCACTCCAGTCAAAACCTGTGTGACCTGCTGGCAGGGCCTCCTCCTAAATGATCCCAGAACCCAGGGCAGAGGGAGCTGGCCTGCCTCCCAGACTATTTAGAGTCTAGGCTGTAGTCAGTTTGGTTAAATAAAAAAATGTGATGTTCCTGGCCACGGCCTCCGCATTAATCCATCAGGACCAGTGGTGTCGGCTACAAGCCTGACTGGGAGCTCAGCACCCCTGGCACCCATTCCCCAGGCTCTGGAGCTGAGAGAAGGGAGGGAGGGATGCCCACCACCCACCCGCGTTACTAGATACTTTGCTTTCCAACTGTTCGTCCTTTGAAAGAAGAGCCTGTGGTCACCCTAGACACTGAACTGCTGCTCAACTAGGCCATCAAGGCAATCCCTCTGTCTCTGTGCAATACCATTTGAACCCGTGAAGGCAGGAGAGGGCTGCCTAATTTTGAGGGTTCTCCAGGGAGAACAAGCCTACAATCCCCTGGTTACATGGCTTCACCACTTTCTGCTAAACAGAACCTCCCGCTGTTTCATTTCTAATTGTCTCAAGCCCGAGGCAGACCAGAGGAGGTGGTATCTCCCCCATCACTGCTCTCCCTGGGGACCCTGACCCCCTGCACCCTCACCCACCCATTGGCCACTCAGCTGCTTAGATAATCCTGCTTGCGCCCACCTTCGTCTCTCACAGGTCTGCTGGCACTTGGATTGCACCCCCGCTATGTTCTGGGGGTGTCTCTGCCTCAGGAATTTTCCAGGTCCTACTGCTGTCCTTAGAGCAGACGGAGCAGGCCCCCACGGCTCCCCGCTCCTGCTTTCTCCTCACACCCCTCCCAACACAGACGTGCCCCCAGAGCTGCCCCCCAACGCCCCATATACCCTGTCTGTCTCGGGAGCAGCTTGCATTGCTTCTGACAATTCAAGCCTTGGTGAAGCTTCCACTGGGGCAACTGCCTCCCTGCTTGTAAGAGAGCAAAGGGTTTTAAAACTTCTGTGCAATTCCTGCCACTGAGGTCTTAGTGACCTTCACCTAACCTGATTTGTAGACAAACCAGATTTAAAGGTATTTTAATTTTACTTACACTAGTATATTTCATACTCCACTTAATTTCTTAGATATTGCATGAAAATGCTTTTAATACCAAAGATGGGCAAAAAATGAGACACAGATAAAGTTAAGTATCACACAATTCACATAATATCTTAAATTTTAATTAAAAAAAAAAAAACAGTCTCTAAACAGTCAGTGAAGGCCAACTCCTCCAGGAAGCTAGCTAAGTGAACTATAATTATAATTTATTCCCCATGTGATGAACAAACACAAGAGATAACTTTACACATGGACATCACCAGATGGTCAATACCAAATCAGATTGATTATATTCTTTGCAGCCGAAGATGGAAAAGGTCTATACAGTCAGCAAAAACAAGACCCGGAGCTAACTATGGCTCAGATCATGAACTCCTTATAGCAAAATTCAGACTTAAATTGAAGTAGGATAAACCACTAGACCATTCAGGTATGACCTAAATCAAATCCCCTACAATTATACAGTAGAAGTGACAAATAGATTCAAGGGGTTAGATCTGACAGACAGAGTGCCTGAAGAACTATGGACAGAGGTTTGTAACATTATACAGGAGGTGGTAATCAAAACCAACCCCAAGAAGAAGAAATGCAAAAAGGTAAAATGGTTGTCTGAAGAGGCCTTAAAAATAGCTGAGAAAAGAAAGCAAAACACAAAGGAGAAAAGGAAAGATATACCCATTTGAAGGCAGAGTTCCAAAGAATAGCAAGGAGAGATAAGAAAGCCTTCCTCAGTGATCAGTGCAAAGAAATAGAGGAAAGAAAACAATAGAATGGGAGAGACTAGACATTTCTTCAAGAAAATTAGAGACACCAAGGGAACATTTCATGCAAAGATGGCACAATAAGCAAATGGTATGGACTTAGCAGAAGCAGAAGATATTAAGAGGGGGTGACAAGAATACACAGAAGAATGTACAAAAAAGATCGCCATGACTCAGAAAACCACGATGGTGTGATCACTTACCTAGAGCCAGACATCCTGGAATGTGAAATTAAGTGGGCCTTAGGAAGCATCACTAGGAACAAAGCTATTAGAGGTGATGGAATTCCAGCAGAGCTCTTTCAAATCCTAAAAGATGATGCTGTGAAAAAGCTGCACTCAATATGCCAGCACATATGGAAAACTCAGCAGTGGCCACAGGACTGGAAAAGGTCAGTTTTCATTCCAATCCCAAAGAAAGGCAATNTGGATGGCATCACTGACTCGATGGACGTGAGAGCAAGCTCCAGGAGTGGGTGATGGACAGGGAGGCCTGGCATGCTGCAGTCCATGGGGGGTCTCAAAGAGTCAGAGACGACTGAGCGACTGAACTGAACTATTTATTATTCCCTATGCAATGAACAAAAACAATGAAATTTTAAAAACTGAGTCCAATAAAACTCAAATACCACAGAATGGGGAGTGTGGAGGAGGACTTATCTCTAATTTTATACTGCTAGAAAAGTCACATCTTAAGATTCTCAGGACCACACCTGGCAGAGAGGAAGTGAAATAAATCCCAAAGATGATGATCTCAGATTTGATCAGATCACAGGACCTTGTGAATATCATGGGGACGTCCTCTTTTTACATTATTTGATCTAACTTTTATGGAAGCAAACATGATTTTTCTTTTCAAAGGGAATAATAGTAATAAACACTCAGTTTTATCTTTATATTCCTCCTTCCTCAGCGAAGCACCCACCAGTCTGGCGTCCCAGGTAAATGTATGCCTCTGAGCGGAGGCCCCCACGCCCCGGTCGAGAGGCAGCTTCTCCTGAGCTACCCTGCTCCTTCCGCAGACATCCCCCGTCTTCCCTGAATCCAGAAAGGCACGGAAGGGGCTGTGTGCTGCTGAGTGCTCCGAGCTGGGACCACACCAGGCGGAGGACTTCTTTCCCGAGGGCGAGCACGGCTCTCAGGACACAGGACACCGGCCGTCAAGGGGTGAGAGGCAAGCCAGCTGGGACCCTTCGTGAGTAACTCCCCCGGGGCCCTTTACATTCCCGAGTCCATGAAGTGTCCGTGCGTTGAGGCTGAGCCTCAGAGCGGCCGGCCATGCAGAGGCCTTCAGGGGAAGAGGCCTCGACGGATGCTTGGCCGGCTGTGGTGTCCCAGGCCCCCCTTCCCTGGGCCTCTGCATGTCTGCAGCGAGCCAGACACCGTCTTCTGCAGCCTCACCCGCATGCCCTCACCCCGCCCCCAGCAGGGACGCTGTCTGTCCGGCACCCGCCGGCGGCTGGGAGCACAAACCCCCCAGGGTTTGTGGCACCTGAGACCCCTGACTCCCCGGGGGGATGGCAGGAGTCCTGCAGAGACTGACCCAGGTGGCCTCGTAGAGCCTCCAGATGGCAGCAGGAGGTCAGGGTGGCCGCAGGGTGTCTTGTTTCTCCGTGTGATGGAGACCTCAGCACCTGCTGAGGCGCTGCAGTTCAGGGTGGGAGCGTGGGGACCCTGGGATGGGCCTTGACAACAGGCGGCCACGAGGCTTCAGCGACAGGAAGATCGCCGCGCGGGGCCACGTGCCGGGGTGGGGTCACTCAAGGTCGGGGCGAGGGCTCGACCACGGCAGGTGGGCTCAGACGCTGTTCAGGCTCTCTTCACCAGTGAGCAGACCACTGAAGGTGTCTGCACACAGGAGCCTGGTCAGCCCGCTCACGTCAGGTGGTTGGAGGCCCACACTGGCCCCCTCCCCTGCTGACTGCCCGAAGGGGCCTGCAGGTGGAACTGGCCCTTGTGGCTTCTGGTGCCCAGCTGCCTGGGTTCAGTCTCGAGCTGGGCTCAGCTCGCCACCCGCAGGCTTGGGTACGAAGTGAGCTCCCTTCATGGGACTGTGGGGGAGGGACCCACAAAGGGGCTGCGCTGGAGCCAGGGTTTGTCACCGCTACCTCTGGCCAGCAAGTTTCACGGCGGCTGTCCTCATATGCCCCATAGGGGCAGACGGATGTTCCCAAGGACATGCAGTGAACCGGGAAGCTTCGTCACTCAGCCTGTGACCCACCCACGGCAAGATTCTGGAAGGAGAGGACCCTGAGCCCAAGTCTCGTCTTGGGAGCAGGGCTTTGCGTGTCTGCTTTGCCTCCGGTCTGAAAGATTGCTGTGTGTGTGCAGCTAGGTCCGTGAGCGACACGGCGTGCTGGGTCCTTTCTGGGTTGTGGGCGTTGATGGGGCTTCTGCCCAGAGAAGACGGCCACCACAGAGTCTTGCTTCAGGCTGGGCCCGTCACCTGGACATGCAGCCCTCCCGCCACTAAAGGTCTTGTTTTCTCCTGCTCACTCGCTAGGATCTCAATGGATATGCCTGGCCTGTGCCAAGTGACATGCCGTTGCCAACCATGGGAGGAGGTGCGGGGTGAGGGCAGAGTGCCACGGGGGAGGTGCCCCCCATCGGCAGGGTCCCTGCACCCTGAAGCCGCAGATACCTGGACCTTAATAAGACAGCTGAAGTGCATTTCCCACCTGTCTGAATTAAGCAAACCAGTTTAGGAGAAAAACAATGTCCCATCAGTTCTCTAAGGCCTCTCTAAGCTGCACAGGCTTTGTAGGGGAATGTTGAGGAATTCTTCATTGCCTTGGGGAGCCACACCCCCCAAAGGCTTGGCTTAACAGCACACAGAGGCCTGTCACCTTGGTGTATGGGTCCAGACTGTGGAACCTAACTGGGCGTGAGCCCCGCCTGGCCCCTCGGCACCTGCTGGAGAGCCTTCGGTCCTAGTGGCTGCCTGTCCTCTGGGAGACGATGGTGGTGCTGGCCGCACAAGACGCTTTGGAAAGGGGGTGAATTCAGGCTCAGCTTTCAGAGAGCACCCTCCATGTGTTAAGGACTGTGTTGGCTTCTGTTTCTCATCATTGCTTGCCCCCCACACACATACATCTCCTGGTCATGCTGAGGGTCCTCAAAGGTGTCTCCTCCACTCACAGCAGGGTCTGTACCCGAGGGTCCCCCTTGGAGGCAAGGCCTGTCCCTGCTCAGAGGAGCCCCGCCCCAGAACAACTTGCAGTCAGGGCTCTGAGGTAGGGGCCGGGGTGGTGGTGGGGTTACTGGGGGAGGTGAGTGGGCCTGGCCTCCCCGTCAGCAGTCACACAGTCAGTGTGGGGTGACAGAATCCAAGGACGGCTCTCCCGACTCCACCAGTTGTGAAGCCCACGAGACCAAAAAGTCCCAGAGAGCTGTTTCCACAGGCCCCTCTGCCCTGGACTCGGATTCTCGGGGACTGCGTCCGAGTTCTATAAGCCCCAAACCTACTAGCCTTGCACAGAGCCCAGAATCAGGGCCACCGGCAGCGTGGGTAGAAGGCCTGAGTGCCCCACCTCAAGTCCATGGCCAAGTCTGCCCTGAACAGAGCAGAATCCGAGGGGCGCCAGGCTGCAGGCGTGCGGCGTCGAGGAGGCCGGGCTCAGGGACCTGGCAGGAATGTGGCCCAGCGGCAGCCCCCTGCCGCCCACCAACAGCCCTGTGGGCTCAGCGACCACATCAGCCGCCAGGCTGCGGTCACCCAGAACAAAGCCAGGCTGGGGGCACAGCCTTCGAAGGAACCCGCAGGCTCCCCCCTTGACTGATACCTACCTGCTTCCAATTTCAAGCTCTGAAGCTAAGGGTGAAGGCCCCACACCCACAGAGACAGCTCCTCGGGCCAGAGAAGCCCAGGAACGACGCCCCACGGAGCACTGCGTGCCCTGCAGGTCCCAGCACAGCAGGAGGGCCTGGCTGTGTCTCCAGGACACGGGCTTGGGTCCGGCTCCTGAGCACAGCAGACTCCAACGCTGCTCGGGGGCGGTCTAGGAGAGGCTCCGTGGGAAGGAAGCTGCGGGGAGGGTCCCCGCCAGCAGTGCAGACTTCTTCGCTGGAGGCCTTGGTCCCTAATCCTGCTCTTCTCACCTTCCAAAGACTGAAGCTGGGGAAGCGGGTGTGGGAGCCTCGGTAACATCTACGGATCCCAGAGACTGCCGAAGCTCCTGTCGGCCCCCCTCCGGGCCAGCCCCACCAGCGCCAGGCGCAGGCCGTGCGGGCAGCCGCCAGGGCCTTGCTGGCCCAGCGCGTAGTTCCCAGGCGCGCTGCCTCGCTCCTGCTGAGCGGCCTGTGCTTTGCTTCCTGGACCCTGCCCCTCCATGATGCAGGAAGAAGACCCCTCGAAGTTGCTCACTCCTGCTCCTTGAAGTTTCTTGGAAGGTGGGGGTGGGAGGGTGGAAATTTAAGAACGCAGTAAACAGGCCTGCCACCCCTGTCCACCGCAAGGTCAACTAGACCGTCTCGAGCGTGACAAAGTTGGGAGGTCTGTGCCCAGCAGACCCTGGCCTTACGGGCACCCGCAGAGGCATGTGTAAGTCTAGCAGTCACAGACACGCTACTGCCACTGTCCTTGCTATCCACAGAGAAAAGGGAGCTTCGTGAACCTGGAGCCCCGCTGGCAGCGAGGTCGTCTCACTCACCCCCACCCCTGCCATCGGGGCGGGGGGCAGAGGGACGCAGTGGGCCGCCCAGCCCTAGGCCTGTGCTCAGAGCTCTCACTTAGAGCAGGCACAGGCCCAGGAGGCCCACCCCACCTGAAGCCTGGGTTCCTGGGGCTGCCACCTGTTGGCTATCTCACACGAGCTGGGACGCTCACCACCCACTCTGAGAACACAAGCCTCGGCCACTGGTGGGTCCCGGCCAAGGGGCAGCGAGCAGGGTCCCGGGAGCCTGCGGTCTCACATGGGCTGACCAGGGCAGAGCACGCAGCTCGCCATGCAGGCTCTCCAGCCCTGACTCTTCAGGCCTGCAGTGGGCCCTCTCTGGTCTCGCCTGTTCCTGGCTGTCCCTGAGTCTGCTGTAGTCACGATTTTTAGACGATTTGCATTTCTGGCTGTGCCGGGCCCTGCTTACTGAGCTCAGACCACTTGCAGTCAGTGGGGCTACTCTTGGCTGTGGCCACAGCTCTGGGTGTGGGGCTCCGTAGTTGAGGCACACAGGTTTAGTTGCTCTGAGGCATCTGGAATGTTCCCAGACCCGGGACTTAACTCGCGTGCCCTCACTGGCAGGCAGATTCTTATCCACTGTACCACCAGGAAAGTCAGTCATTATGTTTTAATTATATAAACCAATAAGTGTAAAGAGTTGCTTTTATAAAAACTAGATAGAACTGCTTATAAAGTTGCTGTTAAACTTGGTATGGGTGAAACTTAACAGAAGATTGGAGAGAAAAAGTATTTGAATTCTGAAAGTCAAATTCCTTCACACGTCTAAATTCTTTATCCATTTTCATGGAAGCCCAAACTGAAAATTGTAGGTAATGCATGGCGATCACTGTGGAGAAAAGCCCTTGCCCCCAAGCTGTGATTTTCTGTTTTAGTCTCTTAAGTGGATGAACACAAGACTTAGGTTTCACCCGCTGACTTTCTGATAAACTATCCAAACCCCCATCCTTGGCCTATGCACGAGGGGCCTCCTCCTTTGTGTTCCTGCTGGGATCACGGGCAGGAGGAGCCACTGCCTGAAGCCCCACCGCGTCCCCAACACTCGACTACGTTCACTTCTAGGCAGATGGTGTCTTGGGCATTTATTTTCCATAGAGCAAGTAACCATGTTCCCTGGGAAAAGCCACTGTTAACCTCCCCGTGTTCCAGTTCGAGGAAAACAGACTAATCCTCTGGCCTCTACTCACCTGAACCAGGCCCACGACCCTGCAGTCCCATTCCTCCATCCAACTCGGTGTCCTCCTGAAAATAAGAGCATGGGGCCGCCCTTCCTCCTAGTACAAGTAGCCCGAGACAGGAGAGGGGGCTGGGTCACCATCCGAGGGTTCCACCCCAACTGGGAGGAAGGTGAAGAGGTACCTGTGTAAGCAGTCTTGAAACATGGCAAAGTATACATCAATTTGGAAGAAGTGAAATGTACACATTACACATGGACTCATATGTTTTGGAACTGGATTTGTGGTGGTGTGACTTCACACGAGGTCTTGCCCAGGCGGCTTCTCAGGGACTGCCCTGAGGAGCAGAGAGGGGCTCTCAGGAGCCACACGCTGGACGGGAGGGTGGAAAGTGGGAGCCGTCCCCCTGGTGCTCAGGGCGAGGCACCAGGCGCCTCATCTCCCTCTTCAGCTCTTCTTCCCAACAGGTCAAGTCCAGCAGAAGGGACTGCTGTCTCCATCTTTACACTGGGGAAAGGCCGCTCGAACACAGGCCAATGCCCACCGCAGGCTGGCACAGTGACTCAACAGCAACGGGCACTGACTTAAAATCCTTGCTGTGCGTTCTGTCTCCTGTTACAGCACAGAGTTATCTGAGACCCATTCCAGTCTGTCACAAGCTGGGAAACCCAGAAAGGACTTAGCCCGGAACACCACCCATGGGCACTAAACTCCAACCAAGGCAGATTCAAGCCAGAAGTGGGTGTCAGTAGAATGCCGGGTTATCCATCAAGATCACAGCGAGACAAAGGAGAGGCAGGAGCCTGTGACAAGAGTTCAACCACAGGTAGAGAGAAGCCAGGCTTCACCCCCTCCAGGAGGCACCCACTCTGTTCACAGGCTTACCCCCATCCAGGCACCCAAAGGTCGTGTTCCTTTTTCTGGTGGATGTGATAGCAAACTAAGTGCATCACACATCACACTTCTGCCAAAACCCCCCAAATCTCACCAATGCCTCTGCCTCCTGTTACGAGCGCTCACAGGCACAAAGAAGCAGGCTTCTATCAACCCCAAGCACAGGTGGCATCTCTGGCTTTGGGTTCACTCTGAGGGTGAACAAGTCCCTACTCCCAGGGAGCTGGAATGAAGTGGAAAGAGGTGGACCTTCCTCACAGAGCGCCCAAATCCCTGCCTTCCTCCAGGACGGTCTACACACAGGCGCACCCACCGTGCGCAGTGAGCAACCCCAGCCTATGCTGGAAGGACAAACAGAAACGGTCGGCAGATGAGGTGTCGCACGAGGTTCTCCGCCCACAGGCCCTACTGGCTGAGACGCCAGTCTCACTCGGCCCTTCCCTTCCTCATGTGGCTGTAGACCCGAGACCGCCTTTGCAGCCTCAGAGCTCACACATGACTGCCAGTGTCGCGGTTGCACCGGGAGGTCTCTATTTTCACATCACACCGCCATGCAGGCAGGAGGCAATGCAAGGACAGCAAGACACACAGCAGGCCTGGTTCTTCACCAGCAGCGGACAGCTGCTACCTGACACGCCCCTCAACTTCAGTACCATCGTATGTAAGAGGTCAGTGGTCTCACCTGGGGAGGGGTGGTTCACACACACTCCTGCCTCCTCCAACCCTGAGGGGCAAAGAATCTCCAGCACCAAGGATGCTACTGTCAGGGATCATGTACAACCCTCCAGGTGAAGAAGAAAAGCTGGCAGGGCAGGAGCTGGGCAGCCCAGACGGGCAGAGAAGCTCTCCACAGGCGAGGCTCTATTCCAGGAGCAGAGCAGCCTTTCAGCTTCCTTTCTCTGTGGAACTGGGGTGGTCAGCATCCCGCCCTGACACCAGGGGCTCTAAGGATCTGGACGCTTAAAAAGGCCAAGGCCAGCAGACTGGCATCAACTACATGTGAATTTAAAAAAAAAAAAAAAAAAGGCCCAAACTACTCTTAACTCCAGGCCGTACACTGGACAGTCTCCTCCACTGGCCCCACAAACCCATAAGATAAGGAGAAATATGACGACAACTCTGGGAAAACTGCAGACGCTTCAGAGTCCTTCTTACAGAGGTTTAATTGTCTGAATTGCATAAAAGGGAGCAGTACACATGTGAGTCTCTGCCACATCACAGACTGCTGTTGCCGTTTCTGTTGTTTGGTTAAAGACTGCTGTTTCTACCCATCTTCGGGTTTATGGCTACAGAATGTAGGGAAAGCAGGTATTAGTAACCGGACAGGAAAAGCAAGCCAGAGTCTGTTCACCAGAATGTCTTCTCCACTGCAGAATAGGGTCCTCTGAGAAGAAAAGGTGTGCAAACGTTGGGAGCCACCTACGATCGGGAACAGCAGCGAGTCAGAGACAGGCAGGCAAGTGGGAGGGGAGCCTGG